CCTGCCCCTGGGGCAGGTTTTGGGGATGACATAAAGCTCCTCCTGACTGTTCTGATTCTCTTCCCCCCTGCCCCATACTTGCTTGCAGGCACTGCTGGGAGGAGAAAGAAAAGAAGATGGAGTGGTTCAGACTGCGTACCTATGCCCGACAGAGACCGAAGAATGCGTACTGCTCCTCCCCCCTACCTGGGGTGGCGCTATCAGGTCCCCAAGGCAGCAGAAAAGCCAGCACCCTCCAGCCCTGCTGCCGCCTCTTCCAGTCCCATGCCCAAAGTAAAAAGAAAAGGAGTACTTGTGGCACCTTAGAGACTAACCAATTTATTTGAGCATGAGCTTTCGTGAGCTACAGCATGCCCAAAGTAGTAACTGTTACTCAGTCTTGTCACCTCCTCTGAGTTTCCTTTAACATTCATGGGCACATTAGAAGTTTAACTGCCACTACAATGTGTGATAGGCAAAAATATAGCTTGAGGTTGGGTGGGCTTATCAAGATGCTGAGGGATAAGCTTATTAAGAGATGTTTACATGCCAGATCCTGGTAGTGCAGTATGGTGGGGAGGGGTTGTATGTATCCTCACTAGAGCCACACTGAGGCCCCTTTGTGGTGGTGTTACAGTGTAACTTGTGGAGGAGGTATTACCTGCTACCTTTCACCCTTCCCACATTAATTAGGGCAATGTGCCTCTCTCTAGATCCAATTTGACTTTATGTACATTTTGGAGTTCTTGTTTAAATATAAACAATTTACTTCCAGAATAAAGGATGGCTAAACCAAGACAGTGAATACTCTTCAAGTCTTGGAACCCTGATGTCCCCCTTTATATCCTATAATGGATTTCTTGTTCTTCAGGGTGCATTCCATTCGATAACATTAAATGCCAATAACTGGTTTTCCCTCCTGCTTGACAGGTGGGATTTCAAGGCATATTTCTCACCACTCCATTCTGGGTCTTGCTTCCATATTGGGTCCAACAGTTTTAGGCTCTGATAGTTTGAGAGGTGCAAGGAGTGGCCTACATATCAGCTGTGTACATTCCTTGGCCACCGCTGCATCTTGTTTGTCATGTAACCTTCATGTTATGACCCTAACCTAATAAGAAAAGGGAAAATGTAGGCCCAAGTCCTGTCAAAATATAGATGCACATTGAAGTACTGTGCTTAAAAAAAAAAAGTCAGATATACGTTGAATAAAAATGGCTCATCCTTATCGTCCCTAAGACAGTCCAAATGTTGTTAAATTGCTGTTTGATGTAAACAAGTTGATTTTACTTGGGATTTAAAAAGGAAAAACAGCTTGCTGGTCATGTGCTTCTGATGTATGTAACATCAAGGGTCAGTAGGCTGTAGAGAAGAAAGGGTGTCTTTGTGAGTTTTGAGTATGCCAAGCAGCAAGAGGCAGTGCATTTCAAGTGTGTGTTTGTGGGAGGGTTATCTGACAGGTAGGAAAGCGTAGTTAATAAAACTGTGCAGATAGGGAAACTGGGGATGCAGTGACTTGGTCACAAGGTGGAGGTGGACCTGGGAATAGAACCCAGCGGTCTTGATTTGCTCTCTCCTTTAATCAATAGCTCTTCTAGACTGATTTAAATAGTTGTTTACTATTCATAGATATTTCCCATGGAGGGACATAATTTGTTTCCCTATGCCATCCAAGATGTGAACCTTCTCGAAACACATGACAAAACCCTTAATCACCAAGGAGAGGCACTTCAAAAACAGTTCATACTAATCCTCAGAAAAGAGAGGCTCCTTTGAGACTTGGCAGGAAGGGTCTAGCGACTTTAAAAATCTGTGTACACAGACACTGACTACAGATAGAACTTAAACTGGAGGTCTTTGTGTGAGTTGCTTATACGAGGACAGATCATGATTTATCAAGATCAGCTGTTTCATTTCCCACAAAAGAATTATTAAGTTTCACTCATTTGAGAAGGAGACAATCTCTTTAAAAGGCAGCTTTTAAAACCCTGTGATTGGTTTCTGCCTTGACCCTGTTCTTCTGGTTCCCACTCTTATTTGCAGGAGCTGTTTCCGTTGCCTGAGCCACCTTGTACAATGGAATAGGTGCTGATAGCAGTCATGGAGAGGACCTATAGAGAGTTAATATGCTTATAAACTGTAAACATCTACACAAATCCAGAGGGAAAGGGCTTAGTAGGGGATGACTCTTGGCTCTGAATCCTGTCCAATCCCAAAATCCAGGGAGTCCCAGCCAGGGGCTGCTGCAGAGTGCTATGTAGTGGTTGGTCTCAGTTCTATTTTCTCCCTTGTGAATAGGAAGAAATGTGCATGGAGGTGAAGCTTCGGACCCCTCTTTAAAATGATGAATTCATTAAGGAATGACCTTACATGTGTCTGAAAATAACATCTTACCTTATTAATGCTGAAATTATAATGTCTAATTTTTCAGGATTTATGTTGGCTGTTAGCTTTTTGTCTCAGCCCCCAAAAAATCCCTATATCCCCAAAATCCACAATGTAAAGCTAACTTGGTGATAAAATTGACTTATGTCAAATTGTACTGCAATGTTTAGGATGCAAGCAATGAAGCGTGGTGTTGATTTTTCTAAGTTTTCAGTATCAGGGATGTATGTAACATTCTCATTGGTAACCAATCCCTGTTAAAAAGACTTAAGACTTCTGATTTATAAATTCAGAGTTTATAATGGGTTAGTTATTAAAATTTAGTTGGACTCAAAACTTTTGCAAACCCCACAGAAAATGTCCCTTCCAAAAATTTTGATTCTGTTTTCCTGTGAAAGGGTCACACCCAGTGAGACTTGTCATACTCTGAACAGCCTGCTGTATTTCTTTAAGCCAGATGGTATGATTTGTCTCATTATATTAGTATGTGAGCAAACAAAGCACCTGGGGAGAAATAGCAAGGTAGGATCCTCGTTCAGAGTTTTACCCCAATACTGTAAACATATTAAAGATCGATGACTGTCTCTAAATAAGATTTTTAACTTGTCGTTTGTCTTCTATGACCCTGCCCATTATAGATTAATTTTATAGTTTTGCTAATGGTAGTCTTAGTTCTAAATTTAAATATTCACTTTTCTGTAGGTGTGAACGGAAATCCCAATCGGAAAGCCTTACCAAAAATCAAAGAAAACTCTGAAGTGACCAAAACAAACAACAGTTCATCTGATCAGAGGTCTGTGGTAACACACATTCAAAATATACCACTATCAGTTACAATACTTAACTTCAGAGCTGCTTGTGCTAAATTCATAACTGTCTGATAAATGTTGGAGAGACGCCTACCAAATTCTGATAGCAGTTATCTATTGAACTATTTGACCACCGTCTAAAAGGCTGTTTTTTAAGGACTTTCCATAGAATGAGCTCTAATTTAACTTTTAAATTTAAAAATTGTAGAATGAGCTAAATTTTAGCATGTGTAATGCAAGTGCAAACTTCATTTTGCTGTGTTCTTTTTTCCAAACATAGTGATCAATTAAATGATGAGAAAATTACAGGTATGGAAGAAAATGAAGACATCAGGGAAAAAAGCACTATGCTGTTGAGGGTATGAACATTTTCTACTCCACCCCCCTTTACTAAATCTTAATTTTTATTGGTTGGTACTATTTGGTGGAAGGTAAGTTTTGAGGGGGGGAGCGGTGGGAGGGATGGAGTCCCTGTCTGCTGTAGGCTTAATTCTCCCCTTCTCTACAAAAGTATTGCTCACTGCAAAGTCATTGGCAGTCACATGCATTTGTTTAGGGCTGAACTTGGCTTTATAGCTTTTTTTTGCACTGTGGGTTGCCAGAACAAAAACTGGTATATAACTGGTAAACATGCAGAAATACTATTACTAGCTGCTATCTGATCTTGGTCAAGTCATGTCAGGATTCTGCCTCAGTTTTTCCATCTGCAAAACTGGGATAATACTTATCTCAAAGCACTTCATAAAGGCGTTAACAAATCAGAAGTACTACATAATAGCTAGATAATGTCATTACAGCAAAAAAAAAACACTTTTTCTACAAAATCCTTTTTAGTTCAAACACATCCTATAAACTAAGTCCATCACTTCTGACTGTAAAATGATTATCCTCAAATGTTACTGTAAAATTTATATTTGGGTGTTCCTTATTTACCTTCCATCAATTACTTCGATACCTGGGCCCTGATCATGCAAACATTCAGCTTTATGGATGTGAGTAGTCCCCTTGAGTTCTATAAGACTACTTGTGTGCGTTTCACAGCATCGGCATCATATTTGTGCAAATCAGTTTTACTTGTAAGCAAAAGTCAACTAGAAGGTGTGTGTGGTGTTCTCTTGCTTCATATATTTGCACTAGCCTTGCACTTCTTGCTTATGTAGAACTTCCCTTGATTGCAGAAGGCCTTCAATTGAAGCTTTATCCAAGCAATAAAATTAGGATAAAGCCAACTTTTACTAACAGTAGATTCAGAACAATAAGTCGGATGGCAATTTTGCTAATGATACATGCAAAACAGTAGGATACAACTATATTGGCTATGTGGTGCTGGCAGGTTTAATTGTCAGTTAACCTAAGTAACTTTTTTGCATAAATTTGTCATTCTCAAAACTTTTCTTTTGAATCCTTGATAATAAAAGAATAAATCTGATTACATCTCTTAATCTAGATATGTTACTATTTTCGTCTGCATCTTCCCTTGTTAATTTTAGGAATCTCTGCATATCAACTCTGAAAGTAAAGAAAGTTTGAGAAACAGTGAGACTACTTCAGGTGAGTACATTTTAGGCTATTAATATATAGAATATATACAACTTTAAAAATTGGAATTAAAGGACCATTCTATAAATATTGCTATTACAGAACAACTTTTAGATTTGACTTCTGCATTATTCCTGTACTAGCTCAGACTGCCCTACATTCAGAAAGTAGGGCTGTTGATAAATCAGTTAACTCACACGATTAACTCAAAAAAAAAAAAAAAAAAGTAGCGCAGTTAATCGCAGTTTTAATCGCACTGTTCAACAATAGAATACCAATTGAAATTTATTAAATATTTTTGGATGTTTTTCTACATTTTCAAATATATTTATTTCAGTTATAACAGTGAGTACAAGTGTTGTATTATATTTGTATGGCAAATATTTGCATTGTAAAAATGATAAAACAGTATTTTTCAATTCACCTCATACAAATACCATAATACAAGCTCTTTATCGTGAAAGTGCAACTTACAAATGTAGATTTTTTTGTTATATAACTGCACTCAAAAACAAAACCATCTAAAACATTAGAGCCTACAAGTCCACTCAGTCCTACTTTTTAGTCAACCAATTGCTAAGACAAACAAGTTTGTTTACATTTACAGGAGATAATACTGCCCGCTTCTTGTTTACAGCGTCACCTGAAAGTGAGAACAGGCGTTGGACAAGTTTAATACAAGTAGTTAGCACATTTCTATTTTTTTGCTCTTGTATTTAGCTGTGATGGGCTTGAGAACCTTTTCCAGACCTGACAAAGAGCTCTATATGACCTCGAAAGCTTGTTTTTCACCAACAGAAGGTGGCCCAATAAAAGATATTACCCTCACTCGTCTTGTCTCTTGAATATCCAGAGTCTGACATAGCTACAGCACTGCATATTACATTCAGAAAGTACGCGCTGTTTGAATCCAGGTTGGGTTTCTATTTCTGTTGATTCCAACGCGCGTTTGGTCAACTTTTGTTACAAAGTGCTTCTGAGTGGCTAATATATTTTACCTTCATTTATGAAGAGGACTCTCCTTACAAAATCATCGACACGTCTCAGAAAAGCCCTCTTTCTCTGTATTCTTAACTTTCCAGGAGCATATAGGAATGTATTCCTGTTAGTTACCGTTTGGCATTTTAATGATCAGTATTACTTGGCCTCTTAAGATTGGCTGTAGTTATCTGAGGTTTAGGTGGAAGAGTGGTCTATCCTCAACTATTTTTGTCTAATTTTTCCCTAATCTTTCCAGTTGCAATCTTCAATTCAGTTATACCTCTGGTGTAGTCAAGTGTCCCAGACAACAGTATGATGGGAGACAAACCTAAAGTGATAGAATTCTAACCCTTGAACTTGAATAATGCCTTTTGGTGAGTCTCTAAGTGCACTAAAGAAGGCCAACCAAATATAACAGGATGATCTAAGCAGATAGCCATTATGCTGTCCCATGTGACCCAGAGGCAGTGCTAGCCCACTGGGGACCCTAAGCAGGAATATTTTTGATCCCCCAATGCAAAATAAGCAAATAGGGGCTCCCTTGAGCTACTTGGGGCCCTAAAAGCAATTGTTTAGCTGACTGGCCATATGCATAATTTGAAGTAGTTTTAAAGGCTGGCAGAAGTGGTTCCTTGGGGACTTTAGTACTAGCTGGAGATGCTGAGCACAGCATGCTCTGGCCACATTCCCATCCACCCCCAAAATGTGTCTGGGATAGGGTGGCCTGAGCAATGCACAGCAATTAGAATAGGGTCAGGATCTAGCCCAGATTTCTTTTAAAGTTTAGTCTGCTTATGCCTAGCACCAGCTCTGGCTATACCCAAGGGAATGGAGTCTCTTGTGTAACTAGCTTACTTCTGGGAGTTAATTATATAGAGAGGTTTTTAGGTGGATAATTGATAACATGTTTAAGCTCTGTGCCAGTCTCCAAAAATGTCACTGGGAGGATTACCTAGCTACTCTAATAGATCTGTGTCCTTTGGCTAGAAGAACAGTTTTGAGTGAAGGCCTGTTAATCAGGGCTATCCCTACTTGTTGAAAAGTGCCATGGAATATTCAGATTCTACCTAGACTTCCATTAGACCCCTGCCAGAAGGGATCTACTGTAGATTTAGTATCTCATTTAAAGGACAGTATATATGACTACACAGGGAGCTCTGCTGCAGTGTGAGCTTGTATAAGAGTCCCCTTTAAGTTGACCCTAACTTATGAGGTTCTTTCTCTGGAGAAGGAGGATGGATGAGTTGATCCACAACTAACTTCATGCACACATCAAGAGTTTCTCCAAATACCAAAAGACCTTACTATTCTTATGACTAGCTGCTTATGGCCACATGTCTGATGGATTTTAATGTTCAAAACAAATCTGTCCGCATCTTGCAGCCCAAACCTTGTCATTTTTTAAAATGAATCTTGCATGAAATGAGTGAGATACCTACTTCCTTTAAAGAATAAAGATAAGCCAGGTTTTATTTTGCACTTTTGTGTTAAAATGTTGTATTTTAAAACTACCCATAATAATTGAAGATATTTAGCCAATTGCAGGTTCAGAATTTATACCCTCACCTGATGGTCCATTGACAATGTTTCAACCATTTTTTCCTCTTAAATTATAGGAATGACTCTGCCTACAGGTGTCTCTACCTTTCTACTGAGCTGTTTGGACATGGATTCCAGTACAGAGTCTACTGATAGCACGAATAGTTGCCCATCACCTGAAATATTCAGGGATGAAGATAGTTTAGGTAAAATTTAATTTTCAAATTGGATTTTCAGCCTGATGTAAAAAGATATGATGGGTGTAGAAAGATACATAGATATAGTTAATTATACTATTATATCTGAATATTTGTATCTTTCACTCCTTGAGTCAGATCTCTGGATTGAGCCAGGCTGTGCTCATTGCAGGATCTACAGGGGCTTGATCCTCCAATCTAGGGGCTGACTGGCCATATGCATAATTTGAAGTAGTTTTAAAGGCTGGCAGAAGTGGTTCCTTGGGGACTTTAGTACTAGCTGGAGATAGCTGAGCACAGCATGCTCTGGCCACATCCCCATCCACCCCCAAAATGTGTCTGGGATAGGGTGGCCTGAGCAATGCACAGCAATTAAAATAGGGTCAGGATCTAGCCCAGATTTCTTTTAAAGCTCATGCTTCAGAGGGGTAGCCGTTTTGGTCTGGATCTGTAAAAGCAGCAAAGAATCCTGTGGCGCCTTATAAACTAACAGACGTATTGGAGCATGAGCTTTCGTGGGTGAATACCCACTTGGTTGGATGTATGTAGTGGAAATTTCCAGAGGCAGATATAAATATGCAAGCAAGAATTGGGCTAGGGATAACTAGGTTAGTTCAATCAGGGAGGATGAGGCCCTCTTCTTGCAGTTGAGGTGTGAACACCAAGGGAGGAGAAACTGCTTTTGTAGTTGGCGAGCCAAATCAGTCTTTGTTTAATCCTGAGCTGATGGTGTCAAATTTGCAAATGAACTGAAGCTCAGCAGTTTCTCTTTGAAGTCTCTGATACCTGGTATGGAAATTTCCACTACATGCATCCAACCAAGTGGGTATTCACCCATGAAAGCTCATGCTCCAATATGTCTGTTAGTCTATAAGGTGCCACAGGACTCTTTGCTGATTTTAAAGTTCATAATGTTTAATTAGGGACTAAAGCAGGTAAAGTTAGAATTTTAAAAAAATCAAAGGGAAAGATATTTTGAACTTGCGTACAATAGAAAAGCATTTAACATATGCAACAAAACTTTACTTTTCTATGTATATGTACTCCTTTAAGGATGTCCACTCTGACAGGTGTCAGCATTGGATAACAAAATAAAGACACTGAACATTTAAACATAGAGCACAATGTAAATGCTGAAAGATCCCCCTAGTTCTGGTGCATCCTGTTCCCTATATCATAGACACTGCATGTTGCCTTGATGCGCAAAGAAAATCTGTTGGACTGTTAATCATACTTGGTATTCACTATCCAGTTAGACTCATTCTGCCTTTCCACAGACCTTAGCTTTAAATGTTCAAAAGTCTGACCTTTTTTTGTGGGCATGAATTCATGTTCTTCAAGTGCTGTTGGCCAGAATAAGCCTACAGATTGTGCCCTTTGACAGTCTAGGCCTAATGTTTTAAATGCTTCGAGATCATTGGATAAAAATTGCATTTGCAGTGTACGCTGATCTACTATATTGCATCAGAGATTTCAGCTGTGATTTATATTAAAAAACAAGAAAGGAAATTATAGGTTTTTGCTTTTGCAAGGTATGTAGGGAAGAGATTGGCTGCAACAGCTGGCAGAGGACCTCTCACAATGCATTTCACCCTAAATGAGGGACTTATCTTTCAAACATCACAGGTCTATATTATACATTTGGTAAAGGAATTAACTACAGAGTGAAAGGCAACTTCCAACTGTATCTTCTGTGTTCAGACAGAAATAATTCCAATCCTGAGGAATTTCTCAAATATAAGAATTCTACTCTCCTGGACACCAGCAAAGCAGTGACCATAGATAAGATGGTGCAGCTTTCAAATCTTTCAGAGATATTAGGTGACTTCTTTTTATATTAAATTATTTCAAATGCTTATTTCACTTTATTTAAAACTAAATAGAGTTCACTCTAGAAAGACCTTGTAAGTCTCTATGCTTTAGTTAATTCATTGGAAAGGCCCTTCTGCACTATAGTGAATAGCACCTCAAGATAATGTTCATGTTTATAATACACTTTATATAAATATTAATATGTAGTAGGATATCCTCTACCTTTCATAGCTATCTTTAAATTCAAACTTTCTTGTCTTTTAGAGACCATATCAGAGGGTCATCAAGACCAGTACTTTGGGAGGTAATCTTTAAAGCGGAGAATTTGACTTAATTTTTAATAAACCTACAAAGCACACGTATATCCTTATTTTGTCCCGTATATGCAAATTAATGTCCTGATCTACAAATACTTGTGCACCTGCTTGATTTCAGTCTGAGCAGCCCCACTGGTTTAAGTGGGACTGATCAATTAAGATAAGTGGGTGAGTAAGTGTTTGAACGGTTGAGACAAATGTCTATTAAACAAGCAAACTTCTTGGATTTTAAGTGGCTCCACTACACACTACCTAAATTTTTCGGTATTCTTCTGGATATATTTCACTATATAGTACTTGATTTTAGTTACTACTTTTTACTTTCTGCAGTCTTTAAATTATAAAATCCCTTCATATTCTTAATCTACTTGATTTGATAAACTGTAGGTATTTGAATCATTTGATCAGCTATTTTGTGTGGAAAAATTACATTACAAAAAAAGGTAACTGAACTCCTAAGCTGCTTTGATGAAAATGAAGAGGAAAGTTTAGAGCTATCTTATAATTAGTTTTCTGTAATTATTTTGCTGTCTAAATTTTAAGATACTTATAACAGAATTTTCATTTGTTATTATCAGAGAGTCACCATCAAAATGCAATAAAGATTCTTCTGAATTGATGAATGTTTCAACAATTGTAGCAGGTAAAACATGGCCTAAAATAGTTGTACTACTTGCAAATTAGTAGTCTATTAAATTTTTTTATTCCACTTTAAACTTATTTGGAGTCTGCTACCAGTTACACTGATTCCCAAAGAATTCTGTCTTACTAGATCCTGTCAACCTAGTGACAGCCTA